ACATCCGGCATACAAGACGACCCCCGATTTTTGGGGGATGTTTTTTAACTTCAGAGGTCGTCTTGTACGCCGGAATATACGGTACATAATTTTTAAAAATTGATTACATCCCAATTTAATTCCAGTAGTTATGCGATCACTCTTTTCTGAAGAAAGGAGCTTTTCTTTCCAATCAGAATGCAAGCGTTAAAGATCAGTTTTGAGATGTAGCCAAAATAAAGAATTTGTTTTGCTTTGTAAATTCTGCAAGATTGTATGTTTAATTTTAGAAATACAATGACATATCAAACCGCTGTACATCTTGCAGGCAGTGCTCCCCTTGTTTCTACCTCCTAGGATACACATTTTGCCAATGTATGTTTTGAAACCGCTAACATATTTGAGTAGTATAACTGTAAAAGATTGGACAAATGTGTTTGAAAACCCCACTTTGTTGCCAGGTAGTGACTCCATTTGAAAAGTGTATTTCAAGTCACTTGTATTTACCACATAAATGTAAGACATGTAGGAATGGTTCTCTAGAGAGAAGAAGATCTAGAGCTGCATCTCAGCATTCCTGGGAAAAGAACTCTAGGGGAAACCAAACCTGTGGAAAAGGCCCACGCTAGATTATGAATGAACTGTACTAATAGGAACTGTGTGAGAAAGCCAAATGCTTGTAGCTTACTGTAGGTGAGTTAACCATTTATTGAAGTAAAATTACTGCACTAATCTGGGAAAGATAAATGGTGAAGCATTTTGTTGTTTTGAAGGACTGTGATTTTTTTTTATGTAAGATGATGTTCCACTATTTGTTTGAAAAGCAGTTGTTTTTTGCTGCAATTAATATTAAAGCCACAACTTTCAATTTCATTATAAATTAATTTTTGTTTCCATTCCCATAGCATAGTCAGTATAGTAGAGAAAATAGTCTCAATGAAAAAAGATACACCTTGAGAGTAGGAAGATTGAAAGAAAACTCCTTGTACCAACATAGATGTAGCCGGTAACTTTTTGTGGTCTTCTCTTTCTACTTTGATAGATTTAAGTAATTTGCTTTGAAATGCTTTGAAACCATAGATTTAAGTAAAATGCTTTGAAACCATTATATGTATAGTTGAAAATGGCAACTCTTCTGACTTCAATAATTTCCCATTTTCTAAAACTGTAAATGCTAAGACTTTGTTTTGTTTGTAGGTAAATGGAGGCATTGAGACTACTTTAGAGAAGGAGGTCCTGCAGTATGACTACCGTTCTTCATATTTTGATATATTTGTAAGTGTTTTGGTTTAGCATTTATTTAAAAAATGCTTAATACAAGAATTGGCTTTTATTATCCAGCGAAAATTTATCTGTTGTTATCCCATAATATGATTCTTGTGCAAGGATTACATTGTCTTGTAACTTAGAAGAACATATACTCCAAATGATATCTCTCTTTAAATTTGTATGGATAATCTTAGGTTGGGCCAATATTCCAAAAATAGACCCACCAGTAGTGAGGGGGATATTGATCACAGGACAATAGCTGAGATATGTATGTCAGTTTTGTTGCAGATTTATCTATTTCAATTGAAATAGAAGTTTTTACTTACACTCTATACATTTATTAAAATCTATTTTAAATATGGATGACAATAGGCATAATGACATGTTTGATTCCCTTTACGTTCGGGAACAAGGAGGAGGGTGAGCATAACCTCCATTGCTCATTCATCCTCCATATTGGATGACAGAAATCTTCCTCTCTCTTTAGAAACAAAAACAAAACTACTGCTTTGTGGAACCTTAAACAACGAGGGGTTCTGTGGAAACTTCAAACACTAACAGATTTATTTGGTCATATGTTTTTGTGGCTCAAAACCACTTTGTCAGATGCATGGAGTTGCATCTGACGAAGTGGTTTTGACCCATGAAAGCTTGTGGGACTAAGAAAGCAACTCTTCACTGCAAGAGCCCTGCAGATATTCATATGCAAATAAATACTTTTTCTTCTCTTTGGATCAGCAGGATTTGTAGGTTCTTCTCCTTTTCTTTCCCATAACCTTCATTTCTCTTGGGTAACATTTGTCCTGGTCTACCCTAGAGAGAGCGATTGTTGACATACTGTTTGTCATATTCCAGTTGTTCCACCTCTGTGTGCATTGAGACTACTCATTTGAAATTGGTGTAAATTTTTGCATGCATTTCTGCATTGGTACTGCCTTGTACTAGGAATGTGATAGTGTAAACAGTTAACCAATGAGCCTGTGCTCATCAGTTAACCTTCATGGTTACACACAGCACCCCCCCTCCCCTGAGGTAGCAGAGCTTGGGGTGGAGGGGAGGAAAGGGAAAGGCTCTTACCCCTCACTTCTCCAGCATGTGAACATATAACCACTGAAATTTTCAGCATTTACATGTTTAAGCACATTTTAGCTTCCCTACCTCAGATCACTTTGGATGAGGTGGTAATTTTGTTCACCTGCTCCAGCAGACAAGAGTTGTCCCTTCTGGTGTCTCCCACTGTGCTATCTTCAGCAATGCCCTTATAGTACTGTATCTCCCATCTCATAAAGCTAAAAAAGCTATCTGTTTGTTCATTTTATTAATTTACAAATAAATCCAGCCTATAGTTAGAGCTGCTTATGTAGAAAAACATACAACTTGAAATGGAAAACTCTTAATTGGAGACTTTGAAATCCATAAATGACTTGGGGTACGTCTACACTAGTTCCCTAGATCAATCTAGGTAGGCTAATGAGGGCAACCGAAATTGCAAATCAAGCCCAGGATTTAAATATCCTGTGCTTGATTTGCATGTCCCCGGCTGGTCGCCATTTTAGAAATTGTCTAGCTCAAAGTAACTGCCCACGTCTACACGCAGCAGTGAAACGGGATTCCGATTCAAAGCCCTAAGTCAAATTAGCTGGTATTCCTCCTGCAATGAGGTTTACCAGCTAATTTGACTTAGGGCTTTGAATCGGAATCCCGTTTCACTGCTACGTGTAGATGCGGGCAGTTAATTCGGACTAGTCAATTTCTAAAATGGCGACTGGCTGGGAATATGCAAATCAAGTGCAGGATATTTAAATCCCGGGCTTGATTTGCAATTCCGGTCACCCTCATTAGCCTCCCTAGATCAATCTAGAGGGCTAGTGTAGATGTACCCTTAGAGCTTACAATTAAAATTTCTGCCTCTCGCAGAAATTGGCCAATTTACAAAAACCTATGGCTGTGAGATTGATCAAAATGAACCAGGAATTTGATAGAGCCCTAGTATCAAGGAATGAGTACAGGAATGGAAGAGTAGCAGCTCTAATTCAGAATTCTAATCACATATCTGCTGTTGACTTATTCTTTGGCCTTGTCCAGTTTCAGTAACCTCTGTCAAACTTTTCTACTGTAAAATATGGATAAATCTGTGTTTTACATTATTTACATTGATTGTCAAAAAATTAGTTTTAAGTAGTAGACATTTTCAAAAAAGAAAAAATTAAAACACAAATGAAAAATGTCAGGCATTTCCTGAAGAGAAGTGAATAAAGTTACAATTTAATCATGGGTATTTTTAGAAAAAGTCACGGGCAGGTCACTGGCAATAAAGAAATATTTATAGCCCATGACTTATGCTAAAAGCACCTGAGACTAAATCTTGGAGGAGAGCTATTTCTGCATCTGAGAGGGAGGGAACACCAGGAGCAAGCTGCACCAGCTACTCAGGAACTAACTACATTCACTCTCACTGGCCAGGGCCCAGTAGAGCAGTAGCTGGTATGGCTGTCCCTGGGATCAACCACACTGGCTCCTGCAGAAGTCATGGAGGTTGTTGAAGTCACAGAATCTGATTTCCACACTTCCATGACAGACACTGCCTTAACAATGACTATAGTGCATGAGTAATTGTACAACCTTCATTTCAGTAGGACTTTTAAATCCTTCTTTTAAGAAAGCATTGTATAAATACATTACTTTCCCCTCCTATCATTTTAAGGTTAACTATTTAAAATAAACCTATGCTGTAACACATTCGGTATTTTCAGGGCTCGCCTAACCGCGGCGAGCCCCTGCTCGTTAGCTGTGCTTTCCGGCAATTTGTGCATGCGCAGATCGTTCTGCGCATGCGCAGATCGCCCGAACCTGGCTCTTCCAGGTTACAATGTACTCGCCACGAGCGAGTAGATCGTATTATTTGTTGAGCCCTGGGTATCTGACAAATTAACTGTTTCAAAAGCTTAAATTTTCAGTTCCTGAACTATACACAAGTGTACCATGTACCTATGCAGAGCCCCACTGACTCAGTTTACTTCAGCTGAGTATATCTTAGGTGCATGCTTGGAGTCCCTCATCTTGCAAACATTTATACATAGGCTTAATTTTAGGCATGTGAGTAGTCTCAGTGAGTGAAATGCTTTATGACTGAATAGCCAGAATGTTGAGTGTACAGTTTAATAAGCAAATCCAACTTGAAAACTTTTTCTTTATAACCAACTCTTCTCTTTGTGGCATCTGTTCATTTACATAGCAAACAGTTATTTTTCTGTCAACTGAGAATCTTGCTGGTTTTTATATATTCTGAATTAACCAACAATTGTTTTTTTTTTCTCTACAGCTACTGGCAGTCTTTCGATTTAACGTCTTAATACTTGCATATGCAATGTGCAGACTGCGCCATTGGTGGGCAATAGCTGTGAGTAATAGCCAAGCATAACAGTTAATTAGAAATGGGTCCAATTTTAGATGCCTTCAAACATTAGTATGTTGAGAAGTATCTATATATAATAGGTAATATGACGTATATAATATGTAGCAATAGGCAACAGGTAGCATGCCAAACAAATGAGTCTTGGTCTTGAAAATTTGTTAAGCACTTTCTGTTCTTGGAAGTATTTAAACTATAAATGCCTTTTTGAAGTGAAAATGTGCCGGTATATAAAGACCACCTTTTCTTGCACCTTTTTTATAATGCTCTAAGCCAGGGACAGGCAAAATATGGCCCAAGGGTTGCATCTTGCCTTCCAAACTGCCGATCTATCCTGCCACTGACTAGGGATGTGAAGGACTAGTCGGCAATCCGATAAGCAAATGCTTATCAGATAGTCAACAGGCTAGTCAACAAGTTGCTTCCTACCCCTTGCTGCCTCCATCAGAAAGAATCATAGAATACTAGGACTAGAAGGGACCTCGAGAGGTCATCGAGTCCAGTCCCCTGCCCTTATGGCAGGACCCAATACTGTCTAGACCATCCCTGATAGACATTTATGTAACCTACTCTTAAATATCTCCAGAGATGGGGATTCCACAACCTCCCTGGGCAATTTATTCCAGTGTTTGACCACCCTGACAGTTAGGAACTTTTTCCTAATGTCCAACCTAAACCTCCCTTGCTGCAGTTTAAGCCCATTGCTTCTTGTTCTATCCTCAGAGGCCAAGATGAACAAGTTTTCTCCCTCCTCCTTATGACACCCTTTTAGATACCTGAAAACTGCTATTATGTCCCCCCTCAATCTTCTCTTTTCTAAAAGAGGCAGCAAGGGGGGGGAAGGGCGACGAGGAGGGGGTACTTCAAAGCGGCAGTGCCGCTTGGAGCTTGAGGCCAGACCATGGGCTCCACACGGCACTGGCACTTTGAAACGCTGCGTCCAGCTGGGACCAGCTGGGGTGTCCCCAAGATGTATGCATGTGGCGTTTCAAAGCAGCAGCGCTGCGTGGATCCTGGGATCAGCTGGGAACCCGGGCTCCACATGGTGCTTTCGCCTTTGAAGTGTAGCAACCGCCCCTGGGCTGTTGCTAGACTTCAAAGGCAGAGGCGCCCAATCGACTAATCGATGCAAAATGCATTGACTGTTCGATTAGTCAATATTTAACATCTCTACCACTGACCTGCGGCTAAGCAGGAGGCTCAGGCAGGCTTCCTGCCTACCCTGCCCCCATGTCACTCAAAGTGGCTGGCTATGGGGGCCATGTAAATCTCTGAGCTCTGCGCACCTCTGGGGTGTGGGGCTTTGTGTGCTGCCTCCTCTCCAGCACAATCTTGTAGCTCCCATTGGCTGGATGTCACCCTCCTCCCCAGCAGTGTGCTAAGATACATATGGGCCTTGCACCTGGCTCCTTTGAGTGGTTTTGGGGGACTGCGGCAGCCATGGAGCCTGCTCTGTGGGTCTTGCTGGTCTTCTGGCCAGGAGCTGGCTAAGGTAAGCACCTTCTTGCCAGAGCCTACATCTAGCATCCACCCTCTCTCTGCATGTCTGCCCCATGTCACATCCCAGATCCTCTGCACCCCTGCTCCTGTACCCATATCTATTCCCAGACCTTACACCCTAATCCCCAGCCCCAGGTCACAATCTTCTCTTGCCTTAGGTCACAACTCAAACCCCTTCACTGCTGTCCTAGATCACAACCCTCTTTCCGAGTCTGCACCCTCTCCTACTCCTCTTCTCCACGACAGAATCCTCTCCTGCACCTCAGTCCCCTACCCTAAGTTCTTTTCTGCATCCAACCTCCATCCCAGACCCCGCATCTCCTCCATTAATATCATGGAAGAGTGTGGCTCTTGAACGCTTTCCAGATTCTTGGAATGCCCACCTCCAATCAAAAGTTATTGCCCACCCTTGCTCTAAGTTCTGGTTAGCACATGTTGCAATAATTGCAATGCCACTTCACAACCTTTTGTTCCATCTGACTTGGTTTCTTTACACCAGAGTTTGAAGAATCTAATTAATTTCCAGTGGTTAAGCAGCTTTATTCTGTGAGGACTGTGGGAAAAGAAAATAGTATACTGATACCAACATGAGGGTGTTGACCTCCAACTACATACCACTTCAAACTCCTTCATGTATTGTACTTAGCTCTGCTTGCCTAAGATTTTAGGCAAATGTCATTGTGTTTATCTTGTTCTATATTCTGGTTCAAAGTGCTGCCCATAAGCCACCTGTAAAATGGAAATGTTTTTGAGTAGATTGGAGCAAAATTAATTAACACATATTTCTGTAACTGATAGGAAGAAGAGAAGGAATTTAACACATTTAATGGCTCTGACTCATGCCACTCACATGGTGGTTTACAGTGACTACTTCAGGCTGTAATATGAAGGAATATACACTGTTAGCTCATTATATTGCCAGTCCAAGAAAGCATTTTTTCCTATGTTGTATTGCTATATTTGTTTCATGGGTTGTGTTTGCATTTCTGTGTAGAATGTTTTCAAGGGAGCAATATACAATGCCTCTCAATAGGCTGACTCTGAATCTCTTGATTCAGTAAAAGAATGTTGCCATCTTGCCACAGGAGTACATCTAATAGAAATTGCTACTGAATTAGAGGGGATTAGAGTATTTATCAGGAAGAGCATTTTTAGGTGATTTGACTTCTATATTGCATATTCTGTCTTTAGACAAGGGGCTATGAGAACAATCCAAATCTATCACAAGTGGTAAGCATTAGAGGAGATACAAAAAGAGACCTGAGATTCACTTAGAAAATCTCCCATTTTACATTTCTCTTCTTCCTCATCAGAAGAGAATCACAATGTGTTGCATATTGGAGAGATGTCGGACCACTGTGCATTAGCAGACCAATATGGGGAAGGATGCATAGCATCTGTTCACAGTATGCCTAGGTCACTACTATTAGCCCCTGGCTTTCATGATGACAAATTTCATTCACAAATGTATTAAATATTACACTTAGCAAACTGCCCCCCTCTCCACCCTCCCAATGAGAACTTCACTATTCCTACCATTTGAGGCATTTTTCTAGGATGTTTATCTTATCTGAGTGTTTTGATTCTCCATAATGGCTCGCAAAATGAATAGCAGGGTAGGTGGGCTGGTATTTGGACTGCTAGCTATTTTTTTTTTCCGAAGTAGGTTTATCTTTTAATGGAAGAGGCTTTACCAAAAAAGGTATTATCAATACATAGTTAAATCACAATTTATAGTAATTTAGTATCTGCATAGTTTCCAGGTTATTTCTATGTGGAAACAAGTGAGCACCCCTTGTATTTTGAGAGATCCAAATTACCATGGTTACTTCAGTATATCCCTGGATGATCTAATTTGAGTTGGAAGTTTCAGCATCCTCTCATCTTTGTCGTCTTAGTCTCTGATCTTGTTAGTTTTCGGGTAAACTTTAATGAAATTGCTGTGACTTTAAACTGCTGAATTGTGCTAAGAAAGTAAATCCACAATTATAAGCACAATTTTAACTATTGTAATGCTGTTTTTTTCAGTTCACAACAGCAGTGACCAGTGCCTTTTTATTAGCAAAAGTAATTCTCTCAAAGGTATGCATTCAGATAAAATTTTAATTAATTTATTTAAAAATCATGGTTTTCCATGAGGAAAAATGTGGTGTTTTTGTTTTTTCAAGTTGTTTTCCCAAGGTGCTTTTGGCTATGTGCTGCCCATTATATCCTTCATACTTGCCTGGATAGAAACCTGGTTCCTAGATTTTAAAGTATTACCACAAGAAGCAGAAGAAGAAAACAGTAAGTTCACTTTTTAAAGTCACCTGAAGTATAGCTGTTCACTTTGTACTTCCTTTTATCTTTTATGATAAAACAATACTCTTCTCCCCCCTCATCTCACTCCTAAAACTACTAATGTATCTGAGACAAAGTAGGTGAAATGCCGTGTTCCCTCTAAGATTTTCCATCTGTGAGTGAAGTGAATTTTGTCTTTTGCACCAATATTGACATCCTGTGCACTTGTCTAAATGTGTGCCACTGTGGCACCCAACTGGTTACTAACAAAATTACATTTTAATTTTGTTTTATTTATATATAAAAATGTAATAATTGTTATGCAAGAAAAAAATACTAAAAAATGGATAATGACCCTGCATCCACCCACCCTGAAAACCACCTAGCTTGCTGGCCCTTGCCCCTAACACACACGCTGCGTGTCCTACTGCCTGTGTCGCCATCAGGACCACACCCACCCAGCTGGTACCTGTATAGGCCTGGCTAACCACCTACTCCCCCCACAACCTATAGTTGATCCCAGCCTTGCAGTCTGCCCTCTCATATGCCACTAGTATATATGCCAGGATCATGCTATCTGCCCCCCAAACATAAACAGCTAGTACCTGGATCTAGGGTGCACAGCTGCCCAGAGACATGAACCCAGAGACATGTGCCTGCCCAGCCCTGTATCTCGCCCATCCCCACTCCTGCCCCCCACCCTCTCACCCATTGAGCTGTGTCCGATTCCGCACCTCGCCCTCTTCCTTCCCCCAACTGCCTAGCTTCTGTGGTAGGCGCCTGCTGTCCTTGGCCTCACTGGTATAGATCCTGGTATCTGCCCTGCCGCTCTCTCGCCCAGGCTCCCACGCAGCTCCTCTGGCCATGACCACAAGAGCTGCTGCCCTTTGCTTAAAGGGGACCCCAGTGAAGTGTAATTTCTTTTATTGGTCCAATGACAGATGTTTCCTCAACCAGCTTGTGTGTCTAATATTCTGGGGCCCAACACTGCTGTAACAATACTGCATATCTTATCCTTTTTTTCCCCTACTACCCTAAAAAGGAAGAAGAATTTGTGTAGAGAAGGAAGTTACACTTACAGGAGAGCCATATTGGCAGCTTGCCAATAACCCCAAAATGGCTTATTTTATGTATCTCTTCATCTTTTAATCACCTCTAGGTAGGGCAAGTAAAAATTCTAAGTGGATGACTGGGGTGAAGTGGGAAGTTCAACTGCTGGCTCCTTCTCTTGAATGGAGACTCAGTTCACAAAGAGACTAGGTGCCACTAGTAGAAAGGATGGGTAAAGCAGAAAATACAGCTACTGTATCTGCCATAGTATGGTACCAGAGCAGCAAAGTGTTCCTTCAAGAAGAGACAAGTGAGGGGCAATCGAGGAGCTTGAAGGTGAGGACTGGTAGAGAGATTCACATTCATTGTGTTGTTTTTTTTTTTTTTTTTTTTTTTTTTTTTTTTGTGGTGTGCTTTGAACATTCGAAGAACCTGTTAGGGGAGTGCCTGTATTTCTACAAAAAAAAAAAGTTTTTTTTCAACAACTAGAAGATTCAGACCTGTAATAGTACAGTGAACCTTTTCATATTTATACAATGTTTTAAATCTGGTCTGAAACAAGTGACCATAAGTGAATGCTTGCCTCTAAGGTCAATCTTGATAGTGGCATCAATAGTAGAAGTCACTGTCTCTTCACTATAAGATGTTTCAGTTAATCTAGCACATTGAAGCGCCAAATCTTTTTTTACCAACTCAATATCCCTTCCCAACAAAAAGATAATTAGAGCGGTTTGTTTATTTAAAAAAACCCAAAACACTAAATAAAAACGTGTTATATTTTTCTACCTTTCTAATTAGCCAGTTTTTGTTATTCTTTCACTTATCATGACACAGGATCCCAGCAGTAGCTAAACAGCCTGGGGAATTCAAAGTCAAGCTTCTTTTATTATTTAGCAGTCTAGTTTAAGTACATCTTTTACAATGAATACTGAAAGTTAAGATAGGGATGTGAAGGACTAGTCGACTAGCTGATAAGCAATTGCTTATCAGATAGTCCACAGGATAGTTGATCAATCGCTTCCCCCCCTTGTTGCTTGTATCAGATAGAGGCAGCAAAGGGGCGGGGAGAAGAGGGAGTATTTCAAAGCACTGCTTGAAGCCTGGGGCCAGACCACGGGCTCCACGTGGTACTACTGCTTTGAAAAGCTGCGTGCAGCCTGGGCAGCCAGCTGGAGTGTCCTCAGTCTGCATGTGGCACTTGAAAGTGGCAGCATTGCTGGGAGCCCAGGATCAGCTGGGGATTCCCCAGATAACCCCAGGCTCTGTGCAGTGCTGCCGCTTTGAAACACCGCAGGGAGCCCGACGTCAGGCTCCTTGCAGCCTTTCAAAGCGGCAGTGCCACTCGGAGCCTGGGGTCAGCTGGGAAGTCTCCAGCTGACTCTGGGCTCCACACAACGCTTTCACCTTTGAAGTATAGCGACAGACCTAAGGCTGTTGCTACTCTTCAAAGGCAGAGGTGCCCTATCGACTATTCGATTAGTCAATAACCTAATACTTAATATCCTTAAGTTAAGAAGAAATTTCATATGTGCATTGTACATCATCTTGAGATTCAATTCATAGAAATTGTTGAGATGTTTTTTCATTTTTGGTGAGTTAATGGAGTTAGTGATTGTCCTATTCTAAGAGAGTCTTCTGTTTTGAAGTACACTATGCTCTTGTTTGAGCTACTAATCTTTTAAAGAAAATGCTGTGTTCCCTGGTGTTAGAGCACTGTTATGCAGTTCCTTTATAGACAGTCCACAGGGATCTTTCCTTGTATTTGAGAATTGTAGGTGCTTTGCAAGTCGTGGGATTTCTTCCCAGGTTTGTGACTTTTATATGTACCGTGGTTTTATGTATAATACGAAATCTTGCTACAATAGTGACTCTGGATTTAGAGATTTTGCAGCTGTCCAATTACACCATTTGAGTGAAGAAAAATGTGATTTTTCTATACAACATACTTTTTAAAAAAAGTTGTATTCTAAGTTCAAACAAAGTTATGGAAAGCGCAGTAGTTTTTTTTCTGTATCTTTAAAAGGATGAAATGTGCAATACTATGATTCTAGTTAATTTTTTCATAAAACGGAACATGCATATGAATATATGTTATATAAGTAGACATGGGTTAACCATCTGGATAAAACTACCTGGATCCATTTAAACAGAACCCCCATTCATTTTGAGGTTGGAAAAGAAGAGATTATCTCTTTGTATTGTTTCATTCTTACATATACATTCATTTTATGGTTCCTGCTAAAATATAGAGAGAACTTCCAGACATGTTAGAAGTAAGTGAAAACCTCATGGGCCCTTCTTCTTACAAGACTTTCAGAAAAGTCTTATAAATCAAGAAGTTTAGCTAAACATCCTCGTGTCTGCTCCCATGCACTGAGCTGCCTAATTTTGAGGTTTACTTCTCAGGTGAAGTTTTAAATTGTATGATCCATTTTTAATTCCTCCTTTATTTTTACTCTCCTATTGATTCATCAGTTGTGATAGACATTTTCCCAGGTGCTGCCAGTGTTCTCTGTAAGATGAGCTCTTGGTGGCTACCCAGGAGAGATTCAGGTGCAGCTCAGTTGATTGGTAGCGCGTCTACAGCTGCCATTAGTTAGCAATATATGTTTCTGTTGAAGAGGTGCACATTTGCACATGTCTCAGTGCACACAACAAACTTTATTTTGCACTAGGATGGAAAAAGTTAGAGGGAACATTGCTTACCATTAAATCTTTGGGGTTTTTAAACTGTTGTCTCCAAAGGAACTGGATAGCACAGAGGAATGCAAACTAGGGCCCGCTAGTCACATCCGGTTCACCAGACCCTTCTGTCTGGTGCCCAAGCACCTGCCCAGGGATATTAGCCCTTGGGCCCTCTCCTTTTCCCGTGCAGCATCAGCTTCCCCCCACTTGCTGCAGTCTGCCCTGGTGCTCTGGATAGCGTAGCTATGGGCTCCAGCTGGGCAGCATGACCCAGTGCTCAGGACAGTGCCATGAGGGAGCAGAGACCCGGGGTGGATCTGGGGAGGCGAGACAGTCAGAGATGGAAGCAGTGGGGGTTGGATGAGAGTTGGGAAGCACTGTGGGTGCAGTTAGGGGAAGGGAAGCAGAGGGTGTTGGATAAGGGGATGAGATGGTACCTGTGGGAGAGGAGCAAGGAAGGAGTGGATAGGAGGCAGGAAGCCCTTGAGGGATGGACAGGGAGGAGGGGGTGGAGCCAGAGCCTTCTCTACCTGGCCTTCCATACAGTCTCTGAATCCATCTTCCATACCCAGCACTTGCAGTTCTGAGACTGGCGGAAGGTCAACGGAACAAGTAGTAATATTAGTCCGTGCAAGCTCATTATGTGTGATTTTTACTTTTTGTTCCCCCAAGGCTTGAATTCATTCCCATAAGAACTTAATTAGCAAGAATATGTTATATCGCCTTATGGAGTGAACAGTTCATATTGTAGACGAAGAGAAAACTTTGTTAGAAGTGTTATGATTTGCACAATTGGTAACAAGGTTATTTAAATAAGTAGAACATGTTCCCTAATTACTGGGTGGAATTCATAGCCTCCTTTCAGCTTTACTCAGAATTGCTCGTCATCATCAAAACAAATATGACTGTCAGAATTTCAGGCATTTTCCCACAGTACTCTTTGTTTCTTTGAGGCCTAGTCCAAAATTCCACCCCCAACGAGTAAGTCTTAACTTTTTTGTGTTCTTTTGTATTGAATCAATGTCTTTCAGTAACACAACTTACACAGATCACAATAGTGACAAGGGGTTCTGTGGCACCTTATAGACTAACAGAAATATTGGAGCATAAGCTTTCGTGGGCAAAGACCCACTTCATCAGATGCATCTGATGCAGTGGGTCTTTGCCCACGAAAGCTTATGCTCCAATACATCTGTTAGGGTGTGTCTAGACTACAGGGTTTTGTCGACAAAAGTAGACTTTTGTCGACAAAACTAAACCTGCGTCTACACTACCGCTGAGTTCCGTCGACATAACGTCGACAGAACTCAGCAGTTTTGTCGACGCTGGTAAACCTCATTTTACGAGGCATAACGCCTTTTGTCGACAGAGTTCTGTCGATAGAAGGTGTTATTGCATCTAGGGTTGTGTCTAGACTACAGGGTTTTGTCGACAAAGCAGCTTGCTTTGTCGACAGAACTGAATGTAGTCTAGACGCTCTTTGTCGACAGAAGCTTTGTCGACAGTATCTGTCGACAAAACTTCTGTCGACAAAAGCCTGTCGTCTAGACGTACCCAAAGTCTATAAGGTGCCACAGGATTCCTTGTCGCTTTTGCTGATCTAGACTAACATGGCTACCCCTCTGATACAGATCACAATGGAAACAAACATTTCATAATATAGTACTTTACATTCCGACTGATAGTGGTAAGAGATGCATGATTTCTAATTACTGCTTTTTTTTTGTAGGGCTCTTGCTAGTACAAGATGTGTCTGAGCGAGCAGCTCTTCTTCAGCCTGGACTCCCCTCTGAAGGACAATTTTATTCTCCTCCTGAATCTGCAGCAGGTAATTTTGTTCAGTGTGTGTATTCAGAAAATTATTTTCTGAGTGTTAGGTTTATTGATAATTCCTACCGAGTATATCTAATCTAAAAGGTAGTGACAAAGTAATGTTATAATTTTAGTACCAGAAAACTTTATTTTAATTTAAAAGTGATCTGATTCATCAATTTTCAGTGTATGCTTGCCTGTTGTAATTTTTGCTACAATATGCAAGGCGCTTATTGAACGTAAAATACCATGTAGCATTTTAAAACTGCAGAAATAAGAGACTTATCAATTGCTATACATTTATAATGGGAAGATGGATCTATTTTGAAATATGTCAGCAGGTCAGTTTGACGCTAAAAATCTCTCATTCTTTTCTAGTAGTGTCAAGAAATATAAAACCTGTTCTTTGGTTTTTAGATACATAATACAAAAGCAAGATGAAAGCCAAATTGAAAGGCTAACAAATGTAATACAAATCAGAACTTGACATCAAGGGGTTTTCTGCTGTTATGTCACAAGAAAGTTGGAGCAAAACTAAGGGCTTGTCTACACTACTGTTTAAGTTGATGTAACTTATGATGTTCAGGGGTGAGGTAAGTTACATTGACTTAAAGCAGTGTCTATACCAGTCTGTGTCATCAGGAGATGCTCTCTCACTGGTGTAGCTTCCCCTCTTGTTGCAGTGGAGTAGTTATGCTGACAGGAAAGTGCTTTCCTGTTGGCATAGCATGTCTTCATCAGACTGGCTGATATGGTGTTGAAGTGTAACTATCTGTTAGAGATATGGTGTAAGCATGCTGAATTCTGTTGAAGCAAGCTTCAGTTGCATCTCAATTACACCTGTGGTGCAACTCAGTTGGTCCAGGCTAAGAGGTGACTGTGCACAAACCAGAGAGAAATAGCTTTGCTATCTGATCTCAAGGATGAGTTTGCAGGTAGTGCAGATACGATGTCATCTGTTTATTTGTAGAATGAGTTACATCTGAATTCTTTGAGAAACAAGTATGGAACCCTACAATACCATGCTAGACATTCTTCAAACTGGAACTTCAGTACAGTCGTGCTGTCTGTTCATTGTTTTAGAAATCTGAAATGAAATAAAATCAAATATTTTCATCTGAAAAACATTCAAAATACCTTCCTGCAATCTTGTAAGTTGTGCTTTATAAAAGTATACTCTGACATTTTTCACAGTTTAAATGAGTTCATACCCTTAGTTTCATTAGGGACTCTTCATAATTCTCTGTCCTGTCCCATGGTGGGAACCCCCCAAAACAATTATTTCCAACTTCTGTGGGGAGCGCAGCAGTCAAGAATCTGGACTGTTGGTCTTATTGGACTGTTGAAGTTAGCTAGCTGAATGACTTTTCATCTAGCAAGACATTTCTTGGAAGCAAACCCATCTCAGTCCATCTGCTGCTATCTGCTCTGAGCCTCCTGCTTCAGCAAATTCAGTGGTTGCCCCAATGTTTGGAGTGAGCCTGGTCCCTTCAATGGCAGACCTCTTCCATGCTCGCCCCAGAGCAGCTATGGTGTTCCTTGAATGTATTCCAGTCATTAAAACTAAACTTGTAATTTTTGGAAATCAAAGTTTGGTTTGTGCTATTGAAAGTGCAACAAGTGGAGATATACTTTGCTGCTGTTTGTAACTGTATTCCTGCACTAAGGAAAGTTACATTGACTGCTTCAATTCTCAGATGCTTTGAGAGGTGTTATAGGGCTGAGAGGGGCTTGTAAAAGATTGACAGAGCAGTAAAACCTAATAACCAGCTGTGGCAGAGGAAATATCTTGAATAAGGAACAATAATAATGTAGTCAATTAACTGATAAGCAAAAGTCTACAGCATTAATGGATAAGCTACACACATTCTCTCTCTTCCCCCCCCTCCCCTCCAACCCTAACCCTT